GAGAGAGAGAGAGAGAGAGAGAGAGAGAGAGAGAGAGAGAGAGAGAGAGAGAGAGAGAGAGAGGAGTTGGTACTGTAGCCGTAGTTGTAATTTCTGCTTCTCATTTTGTTTGGTCCATTTGGCTGCCGGGGCTTCGCTTGATGTGTGTGCCGCAGGGCAACGGGATTACAGCAGTAATGGTCATATTCTTGTGAAAGCTGGTGGGAGCTTTAGCCAGCAGCGAGTTGCTGTGAGTGATGCAACCCAATCCTGTTGGTCACTTTCTTGTAATTATTCCTACTACTGAAAGATTAACTGTGAGTATTTGCCTTGATGGTCAGAAGAAGCGAACAGTTGTAATGCAACTTTGCATCAGATGCTATGAACCCAGATCACGAGATGCTCAAAATATCAAAATCATGCATGTAGTCTTTCTCACGCACAATGTAGTCTGAAATCTGCAGCAGCATGTAGTCAGGGGTGCAGAATGAGTGCTGATGGTTTTGGGAAAAATATATGCGAATAAAATACAGATTCTGAATGTGCGAGGCACCAGGCGTTGGCAATCCCAAAGGGGGGGCTGCCTAAGTGAAGGCTGGTGCGGGAAGGGTGGACTCCAGCCTCTCAAATTGACCAGTAGGCCTAGCATCTGAGTTAGTTGCAGAGGCCAGTGTCAATCGGGGGTGCTCCCTAGCTCCACTTAGTTGCTAGCTAGCATCAACCGTCCCTCTCCGCGTTCGGTCTGTTTCCTGATACTTACTCTTAAGGCGCACTACGTTGACTGCAGGTGACGGGCGAGGTGGATCCATCCTCAAGTCCTGGCCCCGGAGTTTCCGCCACCCCGAGCTTGGTCCGTGCAGTTCGCCTGCTGCACTATACATCCAGTGCAAGGGGGGGAGTAGACGTGTTTGCTGCTTACTCCTACCAGGTTTGGGCAAGGGGTGCAGACTGGACTAGAAAACCCTGTCCAGCCTTACGCAGCTTTGTATGAAGCAATGGTCTGAGCAAACTAAATGGAACAATCAAACTGAGCTGGAACACAACTCCGTTCTCTCATTCCCCTCCGTCGGGGAAGGCTATCCGAGCAGTGAAGCGAAGGACGCAGCTCGACCAGAGCAAGGCAGTATGGAACATATTAGGACACTATTTACTTTACACCCGCCTCCCTTTGTTGCCAAAAAGACAGCCCGAACAAAGTGGTTCAGCGTAAACGGGACTGGAACGCACGTTCGTCTCACGTGCCACTCCGGTTGAGAAGCAACTCAGCAGAAAACAAGGCGGTCAACCAGAGTTTGAACACGCGTTTCTTTCATGTAGCACTTTGGCATGCCCTCATGATGATTGCAATGGACTTCAGAAGCAACTTCTATGTATTGGACGAAAATGTTGCCTCGTCAATGGATACAACACTACTCCCCACACCACTCACCAAATGTGAAAGGTTGGTTCTCTCCATGGTCTAATGGGAGATACGCTCTCGTTTTGCGCAGCCATCCCTCACCAATGTTCTCGTTATTATATTGTCAGCAAAAAGATAGAGGGAAAACAGCTTTCAGAAATGGCGTTTTCTATTACTATCGATCATGACAACTAAAGAACCATTCGAGAGAGCACAATGCACCCTCGTCATCACTGTACTGGACCTGTAAGGTCACTAAGGTGTCTCCGACACATAGGAGAATGCAGACATACACGGATAGTTTTTGGGGCTTCTGTTGAGCGCTGTCCGGAATATCTTTTCATTTCGCTCTGTCATATTTTGTTCGAAGGGGAGGGGCGGAGTGTGCCACCCACACCCCGCCCTCCCTGTTTTCCCTATGACCCCTACTTTGCTGGGTGCGCTGCACTCAGTGCACTTACGTGGATGCGCATGTGCTGGACGCCGCACATGTGCCATGTTCGTGCATGCAAATATGATCATCGCCAATTCTCATCTACTTACGCAGGCAGAGATCGGCTGGCCTGTCTTGTTTTGAGGGAAAGCTTGTGTACCAGGTATGTGTTGTATTGTGAAGTCTCTATTTTCATTTAATGGAGGTTCTCCTATTTTCCGCTGTAGCTTGAACTTGCTAATGTGGTTACTGTTCCGCAGGGTTAAAGGTTTGCGGCAACTTTGCGCTCAGTGTTTTCAAACTTATTTCTCCATCTTTTTCACACAACTGCTTCTCAGAACTTAGCGATGACATTTTCGATTGCCATCCTTCTCCTCTGCTTCCCCTTCCATCGACTTTTTTGCCCGACATTTATTTCGATGGGTACTTGTGATCAGTTCAAATAGCAACCCCATGGTTGCCATCAATTCCCCACCCTCCCCCCTTTAGACATGTATTTCTGGTCGTGTCATTGTTGCCATCTCTGAGTGAGCCCCTTTTCACTTTCTTTTCAGTCTTCCCATGTTGATGCCAAATATGAGAATCACTTGTAACTAAAAGGGCCTTTACCCGATATAGGCCTCAGGCCTTGTAAAAATAGAGCAGCACGGGGCTTGTAAAAGTAAAGCATTGTGAAAAGGTATCTTGCCAGGGCTCAGAAACGTGAAAACAGGTCAAAAGTCAAGTTCTCTATCAACAGGCACATCTA